AATCTTTCTGTGATGGGAGATGGTTGCTGTGTCCAGAACCAAGCGAGCATTCCTGTACGAGAAGGAGGGAGGAGGGAGGGGCTGTCCTCGTTCGAAGGGCGCGAAGAAGAAATTCGATAGATCCGAGAAGCGATGCCAAAACGAAATTGGACGGGCCGTCCGGGTGTGGGATGGTCCCAAGATTTCGTGAACCAACGAGGGGAGACGTCTCCTAGATGCATTCCTAGAAATCGAATGTCGTGGATGGAATGTTTATCGATTGCTGCGAGAGCGTCTATGAACCGGAAAGGGACGGTCTCTGGATAAGTAACGCGATCACCGTTTTGGCCGCACCGTTCTGGCCGTTCAGGGACTGAAATAATTTCGAATTGGCGCGCAATTACGACCGATTGATCCCGTTTAACGCACCAGTATCGCTACAATGTCTTTTATAAGGAATTGTCGGAAGGAAGGTATCAAAGACACGGAGATAGATAACATTAGCCGTTAGCGAGTAGCAATTCTCTTAGGCCGATACAATTAAGTTTGTCGATAGGTGGGGTGTCAGCTGTCTGCGCTCGGAGAATGGACACAATGGGGAAGTTAGTTGATCCTCATTTACGGAGCAAACCCTATGAAATCTAATTATCGGAAGCGTAATGCTCTCCCAGCTTCTAGTTTTGGAACTGACTGATCAAAGGGCCTTGTTGCGTTCGCCGCAGCGCCATAATGAAATTAAATTAATAAACGTTGAGCCAAAATGTGCCGCGTGATTGGATGAGGTATGCGATTTTCTTGTGGAAAATTTGATACTACCATACTGTGTTCGATAAAAGAATCCATAAAATCCGACATATGAATCTTTCCGAACTACGTCGAGTGACCTTGCCACTTGAAGATTTTTGGAATATATTAATCCGCGAGTTCTTTCCACGAGAACTTTAGCCCTCGACTTCCGCGATATCAGTCCAAGTTTTGCAATTTTCCGCTTATTTGCCTTCGGTTTTAACTCTACCATTGTACTATCGGGCGAGTACAAATACGCGAATGATCGCAAACTACTTCGGAATCAGGACGAAATTACTGGCGCGAATCTACTTACGCGGACAAATATAAGTACACCAGGTGGAGGAGTAGATTGGATAAGTAGGAGGAGGCGCAGGACGGATGGTGGCTCTTCGTGGAATGGCTCGGTCGCAAGAAAAGATAAACGAAAGTCAGGAGCTGACTACACAGGACGATATCGTGCTATTCCGTCTCGTCGGGACGACGACGGGGAGAAACGCGGACGGGGAAAACGACGAAAGAACGGAATCCCGGACTCGTGGGAACGGAAAGGTGGAGGCTGGGGGATTCGAGTCGCGAAAGGGAACTTTAAACTTCGCTATCTCTGCCGAAGCGGGAATACGCAACGGGACCATACGTGTAAGCCGCCACGATATCGATCTCCTTGTGTAGCGAATCTCCATCGCGGAGTGTCTCTTTGATGGTCGTTTTGACCGATAAGCCACGACGATTCTCCATCCTGACGTAAGCAACGTGAAATAAAGCGCAATCTCTCCGAACGATTTTATTTTCACGGGGATAAAAAGAAGCTCGAAAAAATTAATGGGAGGAAATTATAGAGGTCAGTGCGATATGAATAAGCGCAGGAACGCAAATTAAAAACGAGAGCTGCGTGCATAATGTAGAATCCTTTTTAATATCTTTTTTTTTTACTCTCTTTTCGTTCGTTTTTAACGAAAAAAAATTATAAAATTTTCAAACAGAGTAAATAATTTTTGTCTCGCACTCATCGAAGCGTGTCATTAGATTGTTATAATAGGTATTAGATTGAAAAATAGGGAAAAATAGGGAAAAATATATATTTTATATACACATTTAATGAAAAGTCTTTTATCCTTTCGAAGGATAAAGGAAGATTACATATACAGGCCATTGCGACGTTACCGTAATACGATCAGGATTATTTTGTAAGATTATTGAATATAGAGTTGTAAAGGAAACACAGGGGAAAGACGTAAAGACTCTCCCTTAAAAATTCCTCCGCCGGATTTAACGAGGTATAACGTTTAACGAGTCCTTTCCGAGCTTCGTCTCTTGCCGCAAGTAAATCGAAGATAAACCTCGGGATTTAACCGGGGCTTAACCTATGCTAAGCGCGCTAAACCTTCCAGCCTAGACTCGACCACATGGATGGCTGGTTACGTAGATTACAATGCAGTTTAATTGAGTTACGTCGCTAATGGCTACAAACACCACGTTCGTCATTCTTTGGTTTTTTTTTTTGTTTTTACTATTCTCCCCTCTTTGTTGCTTTTTATTGTGCTTTATTGAAAAAAATATATTTCGTACACCGTGTGAATTTAATCGAAAAAAAAAAAAAAAAAAAAACTCCACTGTATATCCGCGCGTTCAATTCGCATGATCACAATACGAGTGACTAAAATGCCTAAAATGCCTAATATGTTTCTGATATTTTATTTGACGCTTTATGGAGCACAGCGTTGAGAGAGGCCGAAAATGTGAAAAATTTTATCGCGCTTTTTCTAAATCGTCTCGAATTTATATTTTTCTCTTTTAAACAAATTGAAATCGTTCTTGATTAAATTCATCGATGTCGACGTGATGCAGTTCAGAAAATAAGTTCCCCAATTGTGTCATCGACGTTCCGCACGTCGTTATGCACCCGTAATCGCGCAACAGGATGGATTTATCAGTTAATTGAGCACAAGTAATTAAATATTTCCGCACTATTGTCGTGAAATCGCGCAAACGAAAAATACGATAAAAGGGGAATAGAGGGAAGAAGGGAGGAGGGGAGGATTTCAACGGGGGCCGACGTCGCGACATCGCCGTGTCGAGCTACCGAGATTATAAAACAATTGAATAAATCTACTCCTTCGAGCGGCGTCCAGAAGAAAGAATCCCGAAGGGACAGACAGAAGTGTTGGAAGAAGGCATCTCTGAACTTACCTCTTCTCCTCGCCCCTCCTCGTTCCCGGTCTACACCCCCTCTACGCTAACCCTCGCCAACTTCTCCAAGATTCAAATGGCCTCGTTTCAAATCGATTTCGAATTATCTTCGGCGGATTCTGGCGGAACGGGAGAGAAGAGGGTCCGCCGGTGTAATGGAGGAAACGGTAGTGAGGTAAGAGATATAAGAACGAAATGGCGGTGAGGGAATGATGGAAGGGAACGGTAGGGGGGGGGGAGTAAGGGGTAGGATGAAAAACTTAAGGGACTTTTACTGGCCGAGGAAATGTTTGCCGGCGAGACAAAGACTCGCCCGACTTTGTCGTTTCTCCTCTGATTAAATAGGCAGGACCGTTTTTACGGGCAATGTACTATGGCATACGCCAACTCTGAGATATTTCTCTTATAATCTCGCGCTCGTGTATTGAATCCTTGCAGCGCGTTTTCAGCAAAAAATAAAAAGATTGAAAAACAGTGAGATAAAATTTAAAAAAAATTGCCTATTAAACACGAAAGAATGGCAAAATGACGCTATTCTACCAATCGCGAAAAAAAATAACTTCTGAGAATCTTCTTCAAAAATTGCCTGTTGTACGCGAAAGGTGATAGGACGACGCCTGCTGTCAAATTGTAAGAAAATCACTCCCGATGATAATAAATTCGATATTGATTTTTAATAATCAACTTGGTAATTACGTTATGAACTACGGCGGTTTGCCAGCAACTAGCCTGTAAATTAGGTAGTAGACAGCGGTCGTGGAACTTTCGAAGGCCGTCTCTCGCCTGATTAAGCGGTTCGGCTTGCATTTGGCAATGGCGGCAGCGACGGCGGCGTATGCACCGACTCCAGCTACTTGTTGGCCCTGACGTGCGGCTGTTCCACTCCGCTCCGAGTTCGTTCCCGCTGCAAGTTTCAACGGAGTGCGATATTAGCACATTCGTCCCGCTTCTCATTTTGCTGCGAAAACAGGGACAAAGTAAGATATAATGGAGCATTACCCTTTTGGAGCTAATTAAAGCGGCAAATTTGTTACGGCGACATGTAACCATGCCATGCGCGGCTCTTCTCACCGACCAGTAAAACTGGTAAAATCGTATTTGTCGTGTACGTCTGCTGTCAGATAACGCGGATAACGTGTTACTCCGGGCGTATCGTTAACGTAAACGATGTCGCAACAACAGTTTTCGCGACGTGTATCCTCTGATAAAAATTGGAAAACGTTATTTTTTTTTTTTTTTTTTTATTAAAATATCGAAAGGATACGTTACGTTAGCCTTGTTTGTTTGTTGCAAGTTCATAATTTCTAATCTTTAATAATCAATTTAGACGAATCAAAGTAAAAATATTATTATTTGTATCTTTCATATTACAGTTCGATAAAAATAGCAATTGGATATATAATTAATATTTGAATATAATTAATTAAAATATAATTCTACATCCAATTATTTTATGCAGATATATATATATACAAATATGCGAGCACAAAAACAATCTCGGTTTCGTGGGAGTTCTTAATGACGCATTACACGAATGCGACTCGTTAACTCGTTCGAGTTGCAACAATATTATATTGCGCGTGTAATAGCGCGTACGGCTCCGTCGTAATCTTGCAAGATACTTCCCCTTTGTCTTTTGCGGTCGTAAAAGCGCTCGGTCGGTCCACAGTGGCATTCCTCGGGTGAAACGAAGGGGATGGGGCGGGGGGGAGGGAAGGAAAAAAATGATACGATAACGAACAGGTCGTAACAGGCAGGAAGACATCGTTGCGAGACGCGCGCTGTTGCGCTTATCTCTAATTTATCGCGAAATTAGAAAATAACGAGAAATGAAATCGCGCGCTCGATCTCGCGGCAGAAACAAGCATCCTCTCGCAGAGAGGATTGCTCTTTTCTCCTTCTCTTTTCTTTCTCGTTTCCTTCCTCTCTGACAGATAAATATACACGCGCGGGCGCGCGCGTCAGTGTCGCTGAAATCTCGCTTTCGTTGCGCAATTAATTAATAACGAAATTAATTTTAATCGAAATCTTTTTTTTTTTTGCAGAATCAGATCCTGGCGCACAACACGTCGGCGAGAATCATCTGGTCGAATCAGAGCCTCGTCTTGCAAAGTGTGACAAGAAGCAGCGCCGGCCGCTACGTCTGCGCGGCAACGAACGCTCTAAACGAGACGCGCAGCGAACCGCTGCACTTTCGAGTTAAATGTAAGTTAATTAAAATATCCGCGGCAACGGCCGGAGCCGAGTATCCGCTACCCCCGCGCGTTAACGTACGGGAAAGGGAGAAGAGGGGTGTCTTACATTGAAAATCTTACGAGATCCTTTACTGATAATGGACGGTCTCTAACTTTTGCACGTAAACTCACCGCCGGAAATCAGATTCGGGAATAAATATTTCAAGAGCGCTTAGCGCCGGGCTACATTTTTTAAACTCGATTCCCGGAATATGGCCGCCAGACGGCGTATACGGGAGCCGCTTCCAAGTTTCGTGAAAGAAGTGATTCGTACCGTGGCTTAGGAAATACACGCGCGCGCGCGCGCGCGTCGTCTCGCTCTGAGACTCTC